ATCAAATCAAGATATGTGGAGAAGCGTTAACAACAAGAGCTGTTGTTTCGAAGATCTTGAGATCTTTAGCTCCTAAGTTCGACCACATAGTGGTGGTGATAGAAGAGGGAAAAGACTTGTCGAAATTGACAAAGGAAGAGCTTCAAGGGACGCTTGAATCTTATGAACAAAGAATGAACGAAAGAGCTGCAGGAAAATCGAAGAGTGGTGTGGCCTTGCAGGCACATTCAGCAAAATAAACCAAAGGCAAAGGAAAGTGTTTTAACAGAGGTAGAGGTGGCTACAACAAATCGAATGGTAGAGGAAACCAGATCGAAGGAAACTTGTTGAATCAAAGAAGACCATACCAAGGCAACCAAAGAGGTGTTGTTGCAAATAGAGGAAGAGGTAGTGGCCGAAAACCTAATAAGAGTCACATTCAATGTTACAATTGTCAGAAGTATGGTCACTATTCGAGTGATTGTCCAGAAAAACAAAAGAATCAAGAAAGTGATACAAAGCTTGCAAAACATGAAGAAGAAGAGATGATGCTGATGGTCAAAACAAAAGATGAAGATAGATTCAAGTACCAATGGTACTTGGATTCAGGATGTTCATCACATATGTATGGAAGGAAAGACTGGTTTGTCAATATAAAGCCCTCAACGAAAAATATGGTAAATTTTGAAAATAACAATACCCTAGCAGCTGGAGGTATTGGTGATGTTATGATTATGAGGAAAGATGGCAAGAGATCAGTAATTTCCAATGTATTGTACATACCAGGCATGAAGAGAAATTTGCTCAGTATAAGGCAGCTGATCGAAAAGAATTATAAAGTGTCAATCAAAGACAAGATGATGAGAGTCGTTGATGCAAATGGGAGATTAATCTTGAAGGCTCCTATGTCTCAGAACCGAACCTTAAAGATTGAACTAAATGTGATGGAGCACAAGTGCCTTTCGACTGCAGCTATCAGAGATAAATGGATATGGCATTATAGACTAGGCCATCTCAACTTCAGAGACATCAGAGATTTGAAGAGAAAAAATATGGTTTCAGGATTGCCTGAAATTGACATTCCAAACGAGGTATGTGAGGAATGTGTGAAGGCGAAGAAACACAATAATAGATTCATCAAGGATGCAGGAAGAAGGTCGAAGGCTAGTCTTGAAGTTATATACTCTGATGTATGTGGACCAATCTAGGTGGATTCGATGGGAGGTAACAAATACTTTGTTACATTCATAGATGATTTCAGTCGAAAGTTATGGACTTACCTGATCAAGAAGAAAAGTGAAGTGATCGAAGCATTTGCCAAGTTTAAGTCTATGGTCGAAAGACAAAGTGGTCGAAAGCTCAAAGTTTTGAGAACTGATGGTGGTGGAGAATATGTGTTGAAAGACTTCGACAGGCTATGTGAAAAGGAAGGGATTGTGCATGAGGTGGTGTCACCCTATACTCCACAACAAAATGGAATTGCAGAAAGGAAGAATCAAACCATCACGAATATGGTGAGAAGTATGTTGAAATGCAAGAATTTACCTAAAGAGTTTTGGGGTGAAGCTGTTTCGACTGCAACATACATTTTGAACAGATGTCCCACGAAGAAGCTAGAAGGAATTACTCCAAAAGAATGTTGGTCTGGTGTGAAGCCTAGCTCGAGTCATCTGAAGGTATTTGGATCTATTTCACATAGATATGTGACAGATCAGTTGAGAAGAAAACTTGATGATAAGTCAAGTCAAATGATTCTAGTTGGATATCATTCAACAGGAGGCTACAAGTTGTTAGATCCAGTGAAAAAGCAGATTGTGATCAACAGGGACATGATCATAGATGAGTTTAAAGAATGGGATTGGACTGAAAATGTCAAGAAAGATTCAGTGGAAATCCTACTTGAAGATCCAGAAACTCAAGTCGAAAGAGAAGTTCGACAAGAGGAACCAACAGATATACCAAGTACAAGATGACCTCAAAGAACAAGACGCATTCCTGCAAGATTGCAAGATTGTGTGATTACATCAGATGATGTGATAGACGATGAAGGTGAGCTGGTACATTATGCTTTCTATGCAGATGTCGAACCTGTTAATGCAGCTGAAGCATTGAAGGATTCGAAGTGGGTGAAAGCAATGAACGAAGAAGTGAAGTCTATCGAAGACAACAACACTTGGTCACTTGTCGAATTGCCTCAAGGCAAGAAGGCAATTGATGTCAAGTGGGTATACAAAGTGAAAACGAATTCGAAAGGTTAAGTAACCCGACACAAAGCAAGGATCGTGGCGAAAGGATTTCTACAGAAAGAAGGAATAGACTTCGATGAAGTTTTTGCACCTGTTGCTAGGATCAAAATAATCCGGTTGGTTGTTGGTCTAGCAGAAATAAACAGTTGGCACATATGTCAGATGGACGTGAAGTGTGCATTCCTAAATAGACCCTTAGATGAAGAAGTCTATGTTAAACAACCAGTTGGGTTTGTGAAACATGATGAAGAGAGAAAGGTGCACAGGCTACATAAAGCCCTGTATGGATTAAAACAAGCTCCAAAGGTTCGGAATAAGAAAATTGATAGTTTCCTAAGGGAGAAGGAATTTGTAAAATGTACAACTGAACATGGAGTATATGTAAGAAGAAGCAAGAGTGAATTGCTTATACTATGTCTCTATGTAGATGATTTGTTGATAACAGGTAACTGCAAGAGTGAGATCGAAGACTTCAAAGGTGATCTCAGCAAGGAATTTGAAATATCTGATTTGGATGAGATTTCATATTTCCTTGGCATCGAATTCTACAAGAGCAATAGAGGTTTGATGATGCATCAAAGAAGATATACAGGAGAAATTCTCAAGAGGTTTGAGATGGAAGAATGCAACTTAACTTCGACACCTACAGAACCAAGACTGCAATTGTCAAAAGATGCAGATGAAGATGATGTTGATCCAACCCAATACAAAAGATTTATTGGATCGTTGAGATACCTTTGTCATACAAGGCCTGACTTAGCATATAGTGTAGGTATGGTAAGTAGATTCATGCAGAAGCCAAATGTATCACATCTAGCAGTAGTGAAGAGGATACTAAGGTATCTCAAAGGAACTTTCGATTATGGCATTTTGTTTCCTGCAGCTGATAAAGGAAAAGAATGTAAGTTAGTGGGATACACTGATTCGAGTTGGTGTAGTTATGCTGAAGATCAAAAGTCAACAGCAGGATATGTGTTTATGCTAGGTGGTGCACCAGTTGCTTGGAATTCAAGAAAGGAACCAGTAGTGGCATTATCATCATGCGAAGCAGAATACATAGCTGCTTCTCTTTGTGCATGTCAAGTAACTTGGATGGTGAACTTGGTCGAAGAGATAACAGGGAAAGATCATGGAACAATTACCATGAAGATCGACAACATGTCAGCTATCAATCTGACGAAGAACCCAATAGCACATGGTCGAAGTAAGCACATCGAAATAAGGTTCTATTATCTTCGAGAGCAGGTAGTAGATGGGAAGATGAATTTGGAACACTGCAAAATTGAGAATCAGATTGGAGACATCATGACGAAGGGAGTGCAAGTCGAAGTATTCAGAAGACTAAGAGCCATGATGAACATAGATAATTTAGACACAATGAATTAGGTGGTGTGTTAAATTGTAATTCATAGTGTCGAAAAGATTTGATTTATTTTAGATAAATTTGATTTAATTCTAGAATAGATTAGATTTGATTTAGTAACAAAATAGATATTTGGAGCTTTGGGCTTAGGATGTAAGCTCAATTATAAATAGAGGGAATAACCCTTATTTTTGCAAGCAAGTCAAACAAGTCATTCACAGTATTTTGCAGTTGCAAAATGAATAAGAAAGTTTTCACAATTTGTGAGCAGAGAGAAACTTTGCAGAAATTATTTGTCTTGTCTTCTTTTCTTTGTTTTTCTCATAATAAATTGTCACCGTGGTAGAAATTCATTATAGACTTTAGTGGATTTCCAACAAAAAGGACCAAAATTGTTTAAATCTAAAATAAAAAGATCAAAACTGTTTAATTTAAAATAGGATGACTAATTTCGTGAATTAGAAAAAATAGGGAAACTAAAACTGTAATTAAAATTACAAAATTTAGTTATTAAAATTGTATGTGTTACCATAGACTAAATTAATATTTATGTATGTAAATGAACAGATGAATTGATAAATCAAAATAATAATAATAATAATAATAATAATAATAATAATAATAATAATAATAATAATAATAATAATAATAATAATAATAATAATAATTTTACGGAAAAAGTATATGAAACTATCGCGAAATGGATCCACACTTTCTATTATTTTTTTTGTTTGTCTCTCTTTAATATTTGTATTTTACTATTAATTTTTATAATTTTAATATCATATTCTAATTCTTTGTCATTTTATAAGATCATGTATTAAATGTTTTAACTCAAATTGACATAGGTAAGTTACACATTATTACTTTTTTGTTGAAATAGGCACAAACGGGTGGTAATTGTAAAACTTTCTACAAGTATTGAACTCATGATATTTACTTATAGAAAATTTGTATTGAAAAAAACAAAAAAAATTATTTATATATTTTTATTAAATTTAATACACAATTTCAAGACAATATTTTTTTATTTAATTATTAATTTGTGTTCCTATGACACAAATTATCATTATCCTATAAATATGATTCATGAACATGTAAAAAAAAATCAGTATTTTTGTCTCTATTTTTTGAAAATAACCATCTATATTTAATTTTTACTATATTATGTTTAATTTTTTTAAATACAATTATTTAAGTTTTATTATATTTAAATTTTATATTAATTTATTATTGAAATAATTTATTTTCCGTGTATCGCACGGGTTTATAAATTTAAAATCATTTTCTTAATTTTTGTAAATTATAGTGCAAAAATAGATAAATAATTGAAATATTGATTCACTCTTAGTAGTATTATTTCACTCTTAGTAGTATTATGAATAGGTTGATCGAATGGCTCCAGTTTGTTAATGCTACGTCAAAACCGCAAAAGAAAAACAGATCAGGCAGTGGATAGCGTGAATATATCAGTTCTTACTGGAAGAGAGAAGATGATGATTGGTGCCTCCAATTCAATTACTACTCCAAACTTCACGCCAATCTCGCTACTCCAAATTCAATACTATCAACACCACCACCCACTTTTTCTCTCTCCCTCTCTCCATTGAGAACAAAAACAACAAGGTACTACCAAATCTACTTCTTCACTCCTTACTTGATGTTTCAGAAATATAGTTTCACTATGTTTGTTTTGTTTGCAGCTTACGTATTCTATCTTCGCCAATATTTTATTATCTTTTGCTTTTTATATTTATTTATAAACTGATCTTATGCTCTTGCATTATAGGTTTAGAAGCATTAATTACAGATTCAAATGATATTTCAATCTTCTTAACCGATGTCACTGTAGTCGTACAAGATACAAGTGAGTATGTCACCATTCACCAAAAATCAACTCCAATGTGGAAAATCTGCGACTCAAATATAAACAAATTGTGGCTAGATATATTTTGCTATAACTGTTTATATCATGTAAAATATATTTGTGAGGTGTTTATGTAACTAACAGCATCACGTTGAGTTTATGTTTTCATTTTAATGTATCCTGATGTCTTTTGGGGGATTGATTTCGTAATCTTATGGCTTGAATGACAGCTAAGAGTGGAGTTGAATGGTGATCAAACACGGACGGTTTTTGACCGGATTCTAGTTAACTTAGGCCATACGGCACCACCGGTTCCTGGATTTCGTATCCAGAAGGGAGGTAAAAAGATTCATTATTGATGAAAATTGATACTATGCACTTTCGCACACTTTAGTGGTTATTGTGTTTTTCACTTTCATGCTCTAGTGTGATTTATTGTATTTTATGAGTGCAGAGGATTCAATTTCGATTTTAATCTGAATCCTCTGCAATCATATAGGACACAAAATTTTAATGTAAAGAGAGATAAAATTGAGTGATGAAATGACATCATTAACCTCTAAAATAGACCGAATACATTTTATGACCGCAGAGGATTCAATTTCGATTTATTGATAGTATTTTACACGTGATTTATTCTTCTGTTCATTATAGTTCATAATTTCATCAATATATGAAATTCAAGTTAATGGATTTTAACTTGATTACTTTGTTTGTACTTGCCTTGCACCGTGTGAACTGCTTCAAGGAAGTCAGCAAAGGTGTGCAATTTCCAATAAAATTTAATATTTGAACACTGATGTATGCAACAGGACAACCTTAGATCATGATCATATATGTTTTACTCTTGGTTGAAGATAACTCGTTTAGGAAATTCATGCAGTCCAAGAACTCAAAAAATCATTCACAGCAGGAAAAGAATTCGGCTTCCATGTTATAATTGAGCCTAAAAATTCCTAAGGTAAGGGATCTAGCTGTTGTGCATAACCAGATCGATGATTAACGGAGCAACAAGATTTGTCTCACACAATGATATGCAGCTTAAAGAGTTATTTTGATAGTCAAATTGATGAGCTCATAAAAATAAAGATGGAATATTCTTACATGAAACTTAGAAGGAAAATGTATAAGAAACTCATCATTAGGTTATTCATCCCGATTTTGCGGTTATACAAAATTAACAGAGTGATATATTGGAGACTTCGAATATCTTTACAGTCTCATATGCTGCATATAAGCTTGAAAAACTTGTCATATGGTCATATAATAGAATCGCGAATATTGGAGAATAGACCGGTGAGGGAGTACTGCCGCAGATTTTTCACTTCATACCAAGAATTTAGAGCATCAAGATTCTTGTCAGTCCCTGAGAATGTCAACTGTACGCTGATGTTGCAGCCCGTTTCGCCATTCTTTTGACACTCTGAGTTTGGCACTGCACAATCTTGACTATTCAAGCAAATGCTTCCGCCCGAACATGAATCACAACCGAAACTCTTCCAGAACAAGTTTTGAAGGGTTCCCTCTTGAAACTCAAGAACCTGTTAATCAAACAGCACCCAAGTTTAAAATTACATACCTAAAGAAAATTCTGTTCCTACAAAAGAACAGATAGACCATGTCAAATGATACCAAAGTGAAACTGATAATTATATGACTGTTGTCAGCAAACATAATCGGTAGCGATCTCGCTGCATATTTCTGTCCAGCAAATGCCACCATATATCCACCAGTTGCGGCCTGATAAAATCCCAAACAAATCATGATTCTTGTAACGAACATCTCCTATATACACGAAACATCCGATTTAAATAAAACTGCGTACCAGGTTGCTACTGTTAATTGTAAGTAGGGAGATTTCATCGACCATCGGCCTAAACACAGAAAGCTGTGCTCCTTTGTTTGGAAGGTCGAGGCGAGAGTCACAAGGCGAAAGCTGAGGACCATTATCCGGATTGAAAGATTGTTTGCTAGAAAACGCGATGCCGAAGGTAAAACCATCTCCTTTCTGAACTTTAGCATCAAGACATGGACTATAAACATCATTTGTATCAGCTGCATCTGCAACAAACATAGCCATCATAGCAATGGCAATCAACTGTTTTACCAATGATGTTTTCCTTGTATTGAACATGCCAAAAAGAAGTTCTTCATCCATCCCCATCTCTGAACAAAATAATAAAAAGGGTTGAATAAAACAAGTTATATTAATATAACAAATATTTCTTGGTCAACCTAGGAAAGAACAATATTTTATGGTGATGGAAACAACGTAGTATCAACATTTGTCTTTAATTAAGAATTGGAAAGATGAACGTGCGGCACATAAATCCAAGATAATAAAATGATAGATTAAACAAGAAGAATTGGAAGATGCATTTAATTACTTAAGAATCAAGGAACCAATTTACATACCTTAAAATCAAATTGTTGAATTTGGTATCTCAAGAATGTTTGAGATCCAAAGGCGAGGCTTGTCTTGTCTATTATTCTAGCAGATGTGATAGAAGGTTTAACTGATCCATGAAAGATGGTGGCAAAGAAGCTGTTATTGAAACCAGACTGGTAATAACGTAAAAAAAATATGTTTGTTAATGGGGGCAATACAAAGTTTCTGGAGAAACCAGAAAAATATTAATGTACTAATCCTATTTATAAAAATATTTATTACTTGTTCAGATATATTACTCGTAAGAAATATATTTTTTAGATTTATTAAATATATCTGATTGTTCAGATATATTACTTGTTCAATGTACTTTAAAATAAATAAAGGTGAATTTTTAAGACAAGGGGGGTATATAACCAGAAAATTGTGCAAAAAGGATGTTCGGAATGTTTGATATAATTTATTTATTTTAAATCTATTTAAAAATTAAAAAAATTTCTTTATTAAATATTTTTTTTATAAAATCATTTTTTTATTTGTTTGTATAAAAATTTCCATTGCATTATTTTAAAGAGAGTACTAAAAATGTCAAATATTTTGAAAAGTCAACCATTGTCATATGAATCATTATTTTAATAGTATTTATTAAAAAATTTAGAAAATAAATTTTTAAATTTATTTTAATTTTAAAATGAAAAAAAGTAAAAAAAAAAAAAAAAAACCCTAAAAAATATTATTTTGAAAGTATTTGAATTTATTTTTGTAAAAAACATTTGAATAGATTATATCGGATTTAGATTAATATTTTAAAAGAGTTTAAATACTATGTATTAGTGTAAAAAATTTTACATTATCAATATATTATGACCATTTTATTTTATTTTTTTTAAAACAAATTAAAACAAATCAATCATTATAATTAATTGATGGTGTAAATTTTTTTTACATCGTCCATATATTTCAATTAAATTTATTTTAAAATTAACCAAATCATGCATGAATTTTTAAATTTTGTTATTTTTTTTAACCAATCAATCAATATATTGATCAAAAAACCAAACAAGAACGTACAAGGCTATTTAAGATCCAGCCTAATTAAGAAAAATACATCATAAGGTTATAGATAAAAAGTGAAGATACATATGGTTGTTATAAAATTGAAAAATATTATTTATGAGAATAAATATTTCAAGAAATAAAATAACTTCTTATAATTTTCTTTATTTTTATGAAATTATTTTCATATTAAAGAGTGAAAGAGTAAATTTCCATGAAATTTTATATACTTTTTAAAATAAATAAATTAAAATTAATTTTTTTCTTAAAAATAATAAAATATTTGTCAAACAATTTTATAAAAGAATTTTTTAAGATATATTTGTTTCATGGATTAAAAATATAATGGTGGGAATACTATTCTCAGAAACATTATTTTTGGAAATTTTATTTTTATCTATGTTATTGATAAAAATAATAATTTTTTAAAATATTTATAAAATATATTTAATTTAAAATATAAAATAAATAAATTAAAATATATAGAAATGAAAAGTTATGAATAATTATTTCTTATTCTTATTTCCAACACTTATATAATGTTTCAGCAAAAGCAGTTTTCAAACACTTTAGCTATTATGCTTTTCTTGCTACTATCCTTTATCAGTCAAGGAAGCTCTCTATCCCAATCACAAGGGAAATGATCTACTTGTAACCAGTGCCACACTTCCTTCCAAATAGACTTCATGCTTTTGCATTCAAAGATTAAATGTTGAATTGTTTTCACTTGTGGGAAAAAAGCAACAAGTGTTCTTCTCCACTAAACCGAATCTTTGCAACCGCTCTCGTGATAATTTCTATTAACAGGTAACGAGTGTTGCCAGAGACAACAAATGTTGTAGTGTAAGCTTTCTATTAACAGGTAATACAAAGCATGAACTGTGCTCTTGGTCTACCTACCGTATCATAAAACAGCCCTTCTGCATCCCTTGCCACTCCTGGATTTGTTGTACCATAAATACTTGTTATATTTTTTTAAATCATTAATTTATAAGTACCGAAAACTGCTCACAACATAATTTTGTTATATTAATGTCACATATATTATCTTATAAATTAAAATTGTTAAATTTTTTAAGAAAATTTTGGAGTTATTTAATAATTATTAATATTAATTTATTTTAATCTTATTAATTAAAGTTATTAAATCTTTTAAGAAAATTTTGGAGTCAAAACTAAAGTTAACTTAATAATTGTTGTGAGCTGTTAAAAATTTGTTACAGCTGTTTGTTTTTTGGAAAATAGCAGAATTTAATAGCATGACACTTTAGTTGGTTTTGATTATTAGTTGTACTATT